ATAGAAAATTACGTATAAAAATATACAGCTAATTCTGTAGATATTTATTGTTAGCTGAATTCATACCGGAAGAATGTAGAGTTATTACACGACTGAATTATAGTTGTTTCATCATTTCAATTAGTGACATGATCACTGAGCTGTAAATCATAGTATAATGATGAATGAATGATGAAATGACTGTAAATAAGTTATAAACTGAAAAAATCACTTATTATATAAATAATATCACTGAATTCAATCTGTATAATTACTAATTCTAAAAATCATCTTATTTACTAATATGTTAGAGAATAATGTTGATCTGTAATCTATCTAAGATGAAACTATACATAAGTTAAGTGACACGTGATTAAAGTAGATGTTGAAGGATAATATTGTTGTATATATATAATTGTGACAGGCTGCGTCTGATCAATTATATAGACTATTCTGTTACACTTCACAGATTTCTACTGCTTCAATTCTCAGTTGCTGATTCTCAGCTGAAAACCTACAGAATTTCTATTCTTTCATCTCAAAGCTTCACTATGTATGAAAATTTCTATTCTTTCACTCTGAAGTTTCACTGTGTATATTACTATGTACATGTATAAATATTCACTCTGATCACTGATTCTCATACTTTCTCTTTCTTTTCTTCTTTAATGTTTTTCTCTTTATTATATAAGATCTATAAATATTATACTGATCTATTCAGCATAAGTCTCTTACACTGAAAAAATATTCATTATCTTCTTATTAGAAATGATTACTCACTGAGATATCTGAATACATAATAATATATAAGAAATAGAGAAATAGTTAAATAGTTAAGTAAACACTGAGTTCTCAGATAGAAGCTTATTTATCAGTTACTCTGATCTTATAACAAGATCTTACAAAGAGAGTAAGATATTATAAAGATAATATCAGTGAAAGATCTGAGAGTTCTAATATCATAGATATATAAGATATTCATATAATTACACTTCTTTCAATTTCACAGATATTATATATTTAACAATCAATATAATTATATCTAATAATAATATGAAAGAATTCTTGAACATGAGTATAGACATAATATTATAGTAGCTCTGAGCAATGTTGAAATTATAATAGTAATAGATAGCTGATATGTATATAACTTAATAACTTCAACTCAAGAAAATTTAATAATTAACTTAATAAGAAACTTATACAATTTCAACATCTATAGAATTAAATACAAAAGTGCTGAAAGAATGCTTAGATACTTCTATATATTTTAATACTTTCAATCTCACTCTCTACTCATTATAAAGAATGAAAATGCTTATAAAACTGAGTATAGATAAAGATATCATTAGTTTACTAATTAATCAAGATTAATATATCAATGAATAATTAAAGAATTGTATAAAACAGAAGTTTTATTCATGAATAAAAGTATGTGAATCAGTATTGTAAATATCTGATAATATCATCAAATATCTTAATATTTTATTTCAAGATATTATTATATAATAAAAAGTATTAGATTGATTATAGAGTATCTGACAGAGAAATACTTTTCTTATAACATTTATTTCTGACTTCAATATCAAGATCTTAGAAGTAAATAATCAATCTTGAAAGAATTAAATGAAGATTAGTATGCTTAAGAAGACACTAACTTTTAAACTCTTAAAGACTCTTATAAGTGTAAATAAAGACCTGACTTATAAAGACTTCTATACACAGCTTCAGACATTGAATAATCATCTTATCAAGCTCAAGAGTATACAGAACAGTGATAGAAGATATTACACTTATATATCTATACTGAGAAATAACTCAGTCACTTATATATCTACACTGAGAAATAATAATAATAATGTAGATACTATGAACTGAGTAGACTTGAATATCTATATATAAGTAAGAGTTTCTACTGTCTGAACAAGCTTCTGAGTCTCTGAGATCACTTCTGAAGAAGTTACTAATCAATATTAATAAGAAGTGTGCATCAACTGTAACTGATTGAGATATATTACTTTCAACTATTAATCAGTCTACATATCTTCTTACTTAAAAAATGAATCAGTACCTGTTCACATCAATCACATTATATTAGAGAAGAATTTGGAAGATAACTATGAGAATGTTCTGATAAAATAGAAAAAAGATTAACTTCTATTCAAATTTACAAGTAGAAGCTTGAAGAGATCAGATAATAATAATTTAAAGAGAATATAACAATGAATATAATTCTTGTATCTACTGTAATAGATAATATATATAATATGAAAATCATGATAAACAGCAGTCTATATTATTATACAATAATTAAATCTTTAATTATAAGATATTATAATCTTCAGTGTATTCTCTTATAAAGACTCTGACTTCTCACAGAATTTGATAATTTAAAAGACATTCACACTCATTACATGATAAAACTAAACATAGATATCAGAGAATATTAATGTGAAGATATTTATACATACAAAGTTAATAATCTTAATTATAATCTCATACTAGAACTTGTCTGACTATCTGAATAAGATATCTTATTAAATGCTTAAAATAGAAGCTTAATATTCTCTAACAATGATAGAATTTATAAAGATAATATTCATAAAACTATAAATCTTACACAGATCTCTGTTAATACTTATGAAATACTCTGTAAAAGAAGTCAATTATTAAAACTACTGATAGAGTCACTGATAAAGTCACTGATAGCAGAATTATATATCAATCTATTCTGTAAGAGGCCTACGCCGAATAGATCAGTATTATATTGATAGGTCTTATATAACAAAGAGAAAAATGTTAGAGAAGGAAAAGAAAGAGAAAGTGTGAGAATCAGCAATTGAAGTGAATATTTATACATATATGTGATGATGTATGCAGTGAAGCTTCGGGGCGGAAGAATCTATATACATTCATGATGACTGAGGATCAGTGATTGAGAATGACTGAGAATCAGAGCATATGCATTCGTGGCGGCTGAGAATCAGTGATTGAGAATGACTGAGAATCAGAGTATACATGTTCAAGAATGAAGTGATTGAAATCTGTGAAGTGTAACAGAATAGTCTATATAATTGATTAGGTGCAGCCTGTCACATTAGCCTCTTCTTTTCAGAAGCAGTTCTCATTGATCAAGGACTGCTGTTTCAGATAACATGAAACTCAAAGTTCAGGTCAGTTGATTATAGCTGACTCATTTTATAAGATATTATTGACTGCAGCTGTATTATCTCTCATTGAGAATATCTTCAATCTCTCACTCAAGCTTATTATCTTCTTCTATGATCTCTGGCAGTTGCTAGTTGAAAGTTAGTTAAGAAGAGAACAGATCAGTAGCAGTGCAATGAAGCAAGCTTGTATAAAAAATATCATGAATTTCTGATGATATGTTAAGATGATAGTTATAGCTATCTAGAACTTCTATCACTTTATACCTGATATAGTAGTAATCTAGTGTATGAGATGAATGTGTGATTTATATATTCTTAAGATTCAATTATATCAGATCTTCTATCTTATATTGTTCAGTGAGATCTCAGTGAATATTAATTTAATCTTCTTAATTCTGTTTAGTGCTTATTATGAAGGCTTCTGCTCAATCATGAGCATCTCAGAGTTTTATTACTATATTATCAGTGATCTGAATTGAACTGTGAGAGTTCAGTATGAACTGTGTGATCTCTAGAAGATCTAATATCTTCATATAATAACTGTGTATAAGGAAGAATGAGCTTATATCTGTTGAAATGATATATTAATCATTGATAGCAATCTCTGTGTGTAGAAGAAGATCATGTCAGTCATCTTATCAGTAATTGCAGAACTTATAAAAATAATTTTTTACAGTCTGAATTGTCTGTTCTGATGTATCATCAGTCTCAGAGTGATAGATAGTTAATAAACAGTGTATAATCTTCAGAACTTAACAGATTCTTATTCAGAGAGTACTTATAAATTAACAGCTCTGATCTGATACTATAAATCTCAGTAATTCATATATTCAATAGAATAAGCTCTGTAGAAAAGCTTCAGTGACTTGTTCAGTATTTATTTTATTACAAGATTTCAATATTATATCTTTATGTAATTAATTCATGATGACTAGAATGTTTCTATAATCTTTACTTTCAGAAAGATTAACAGTGAAGTTAATTATCACATCTCATCAGATTCTATCAGAGATATCAAGTAGTTTCAGCAGATCTTTTCTATAGTTCTTTTATAAGATAATAGAAGAATAATGATTGCAGTTTCAGACAAAGTATCTGATACTGTTTGATATCTCAGACTAGTAGAACTCTCAGAAGATCATTCTATACAGTTATTCACAGTCTGAATAATCAGTCATACACAAATCATGCATCTCTTGCATTATCCGGGTGTGTAAGAGTTCAAAGTGAGAGACTCAGTATTGTTCACAGAATTGTAGAGTGTTATTATCATCAATTGAACATTCTGAGATATTAGTTCTTATACATAGTTCTGGGGGAAATTGAGTTGCTTCTTGATGTACTGCTTCAGTGAGTGCTTCAAGAAGTTCATCAGTTTGAGCTGTTATATGTCACAATTCATTAAGTATAGATCTGAAGAATGTTCTGACCAGTGAAGTGTGTATAGTGTCATGAGTGACCTCATTGTGATTAACTAATATCTTCAGATTCAAGAGTCAGTGTTCTCAATTCATTCAGTGTGTATCTGTCATGTTGAACAGCATATCTTGTTCTCATCATGAGAGGGCATCTGCCATCGACTTCTGGCTGCTGAGATGATAGTGTATTGTAAAATGAAAGTGACTTAAGAACTCAGATCATCATATCTGTTATTCAGTGAATTTACAGATAGTTGTGAAGTATTTGAGGTTTT